CACTTGTTGACACCTACAACCAGTGATGCAAGACTGATCAATTAAGGAGCACATTTAATAACAGCATTCAAACAAGTGTATCTCTGAGACACCTACAACCAGTGATGCAAGACTGATCAATTTTATTAAATGTGCACCTTGACACCTACAACCAGTGATGCAAGACTGATCAATTAACAAGTGTATCTCTGAGAAAGCTGTTATTAAATGTGCACCTTGACACCTACAACCAGTGATGCAAGACTGATCAATTAACAAGTGTATCTCTGAAGAAAGCTGTTATTAAATGTGCTCCTTTAGCTTTCATCAGAGATGATCATGGAAATCTCATAAAGTGTAGTTACGTTGGAGGTGAAAATATTTGGATATCACTTGCTCAAAGCTAACTTGTCATTACGTGAAATAACATGTTTTACAGTGAAAATGTTTGGTTTCTTAAACAGATACAGCAACTTGAAAGAAAGCAGCCAAGACCTGCGGAATGAACTGAACAGATTTCAGCAGCAGTTGGACAGCCTCACCTCTCAGAAAACCTCTCTTGAAGATGAGTTGTCTATGTCACAGGTAAAATTCACTAAATGTTTCAACAATCAGAGAACATTCTTAAAAAACTAACCTATGTCACAGATAAAAAAGAAAAAAAATATGTTTGCTTTATTTTTCAGCTAAACTATTCTGTTGATTATGTGATTTCTCCTTAGTTATGATTTGAATTTTGTATGCTAACTAAATGCTGTTAGACATTGATACTGGAATTTTTGGTTGGATGTTGTGTTCGTAAGTTTTTCAAGTGGATTACCACAAGTAGAAATGTAACTAGGTAACAAAGAAACATGATGTTTAACAGACAAGTGACGGTACAAAATAAAATATACCTGTATGACACAAAGAAACATGATGTTTAACAGACAAGTGATGGTACAAAATAAAATATACCTGACACAAAGAAACATGATGTTTAACAGACAAGTGATGGTACAAAATAAAATATACCTGTATGACACAAAGAAACATGATGTTTAACAGACAAGTGATGGTACAAAATAAAATATACCTGTATGACACAAAGAAACATGATGTTTAACAGACGAGTACTCCAGCTAGTAAGAAGTAAATACACATATAAAATATTTTGTGAAGTCTTGTAAAAGTAAAGGTTAAAACATGATGTTTATGTTTCATAAGAATATGTAAAGTGCTTAAAATTCATATTATTATAATATTGTAAAATATAATGAAAATAAAAAGATTTAAATAAGTAAGTAATGAAATTATCTCGTACTAGAATCATTTAAAATAATAGTGGTCAAAGTTAAGCATGAAACATTTCAAATTGTTATATAGTTAGGTAAAATGATGAAAAAAGAGCCAAATAGAACTTCGGAATCTATTAACTATTTATCAGTGGACAAAAACATAGAAATTATTCAGGGCAACCTTTGGTATGGTTCGTAAAATGTTTTTTTTTCTTTCATCAAAAGAGCTTCTTTATATATTTTTTTTTCTAGAAAGTTCTCACTTTGTATATATATATTTGAGATGGTTATTCTGTAGCTAATTTGTAAGATTCCAATGTGCATACTGTTTCCAATGTATGTATCTTGTACACAACGTTTATTGTGAAACTGCTGTCGCTTGTTGAACTGTTTTTAAACTACAAGTTTGATGAAGTTTAAAGTCTTAAACCTATATTCATTTACATTTATCTTCCTCATTATTCCTCCCATTATAATGAATTCATTGTTGATCTTTGTAGCTAAGATAACAGTAGGTACTTCACCCTATTTCAAACACTGGGAATTGATAACGGTTTTCTTCTTGATTCTAATCATTTGATGAGTTTTTTACTGTAGAGAAATTGGTTTGAACTGACATATGGAGGTTTTCAGATGGTAGAAATTTGGAAACCATAAGTTCAGATGATGTAGACAGTAAAAAAAGATGACACGGGTATGAGACATAGAAAACTTGAACGCAACCAACAAGGCAGTGTTACCTTCTAAAAGAAGGTAACACTGCCTTAAGCCGAACATCATGAAACATGATAAAACAAGATGACACGGGTATGAGACATAGAAAAATCGGACGCAACCAACAAGGCAGTGTTACCTTCTAAACATGATAAAACAAGATGACACGGGTATGAGACATAGAAAACTCGGACGCAACCAACAAGGCAGTGTTACCTTCTTAACATGATGTTCGGCTTGTAAAATAGTTATCTTTCATTGTAGCAAAATCTGAAGAGGTTTTAGAGGAAAATGAATGAGCATTGTAAAGATTAGGGTTGAATACAAGAAAACTTGAACGCAACCAACAAGGCAGTGTTACCTTCTTAACATGATGTTCGGCTTGTAAAATAGTTATCTTTCATTGTAGTAAAATCTGAAGAGGTTTTAGAGGAAAATGAATGAGCATTGTAAAGATTAGGGTTGAATACAAGAAAACTTTTTTCTATGTGTAGTTTTAGTGGCCTTGTAGTAGAAAATGGAATAGCCTAGATGGATCATTTAACTCCTTGTTATCCCTTGTAATATTTAGTTCATGAATAAAACAAAACTGGATTATTCTCTAGGTAGATATGAAATAACTCGGATAAACCATGAAGGCAAATAAACAATTTTTTTATGTGGAAGGTGAAACAAGAAGCCGTGAGCTTATATGAGAAATTGCGTGAATTGGAAGAAAAACGAGACACGTTGTTGGACGAAGAAAGAGGGAGGGGAACACCACAGCAGGAATGGGACAAACTTTTAAAACAGGTAAGATTAGAAATACATTTAAAATTTTGCTGTTTTATTTGTTATTTATAAGGGTTAAACTTCTTATAGATTTACACCATTCACCATAAATCTATGTACAATATCCACAAATTACCCCTCACCCCTTTACAACACAAGTCTGCAAATCAGGCATTTTGAAGAGGATTTCTGGAGTCTAGGAAAGCTTGAATATGATCCCAAAACCTGGAAAAGTCTGGGAATTTGAAAATAGGGTCGGATTCAGGAAAATTTTAAAAATGGGATAATGAAGTAAGAGAAAATTTAAAAAATACTCCAAAACTTTTAAAATTGGGAGTGAAGGGTTTGAAAGACCACCTGATTAGGTTCAAGTTTATATCAGTAAATATTAATAATCAGTATATATATATATTTGTGACTGTAAAAAATACTACTGTAGGAAGAGAAAAGGATAGTAAAGAAAAATGTGTTTAACTATGATAAATGTACCTTGTGTTTAACTATGATAAATGTACCTTGTGTTTAACTATGATAAATGTACCTCGTGTTTAACTATGATAAATGTACCTCGTGTTTAACTATGATCAATGTACCTCGTGTTTAACTATGATCAATGTACCTCGTGTTTAACTATGATCAATGTACCTCGTGTTTAACTATGATCAATGTACCTTGTGTTTAACTATGATAAATGTACCTTGTGTTTAACTATGATAAATGTACCTCGTGTTTAACTATGATAAATGTACCTTGTGTTTAACTATGATAAATGTACCTCGTGTTTAACTATGATAAATGTACCTCGTGTTTAACTATGATCAATGTACCTCGTGTTTAACTATGATAAATGTACTTCGATAATATATATATATATATTTATCATTTTTGGTGATATTTATTTATTATTTATCAAATTGATAATATATATATATTTTTATCATTTTTGGTGATATTTATTTATTATTTATCAAATTGATAATATATATATATTTTTATCATTTTTGGTGATATTTATTTATTATTTATCAAACTGATAATATATATATATTTTTATCATTTTTGGTGATATTTATTTATTATTTATCAAATTGATAATATATATATATTTTTATCATTTTTGGTGATATTTATTTACTTTATTTCACTGTACATAAGTTCTGTTTTTACTTCTTTAATTCATGTAATAATTGTATTATATGATAGGTGAAAGATGATAATGGAGAGCTAGCAAGCATTGAGAGACAAACTGTTGAAGTGCGAGACAAAATTACTCGAGCTCAAGAAGAGCTATCGCACTTGGAACAAGAACTTGAAGACCATCAGGGAGAACGGATTACAAAATATCGAGAATTGCGTAAGCGGGAGGAAGGGATAGACAACTTTTTGGTGTCCTTTGATGAAACCAAAGAAGCCGAAGAGGATCGTCAACATGCTCTGGAGAGAGATATTGTTGAGTTACTGGAACACATCAGTCGCAGTTTGGCTCATTTCCAACATCTTCCTTCACCTCAAGAGTTTGCAATGCTAAAAGATGACCTAACGTACGTGTTCAGTGAACCTTAGTCTTGTAATTGAATGTATCAATAACGAGTCTTCTTAGGCCTAGAATCAATTGAGTTTATGTCTCAAAATGTTATGTATTTAAACCTGCTCGAGCATTAATCACTAGATGTGTAGAATTATACACGGACTTTTCTCTACATTAAAATACTTTTATTTGTAGATTGTTGCCCGATGAAGGCTCCGGTAAGAGGGCCTAAAACAATGATCACTAGATGTGTTTTGAAACATACAAACATGATGTGGTATTAAGGTTAAATGTGTTTGAACATTAGAGAAACCATTTATGGATGTTCTGAAACTTGTAAAAAGAAGTGGATGGTGTGTATTTGGTATTAACAGTCTGGTTATCCTTCTTCTTATGTGTTTTATAAATAATTCTTGTTAGTCTGAAATATACATTAATAAAAGTTTTATATACAGTAACAGTGAAAGTCAAACATGACCTTCCAAGTTTTATATACAGTAACAGTGAAAGTCAAACATGACCTTCCTAGTTTTATATACAGTAACAGTGAAAGTCAAACATGACCTTCCAAGTTTTATATACAGT